GCGTTGTGATGGATGCAAATTGTTGTTAATCTATCGACAAAAAGATGGTACACATTCTTTGGCAAAACATAAACGTTCGTGTCAAGGTGGTGAAATAGAAGGAGGCACAAGTTCACTTAATCAAACAAAAGTAACTGAGTTTTATTTGTCATCAAAAACATATAATGCACCAAAAAAACTTAAAGAAAAAGTCAAGCTGGCTTGTACCGAATTTATTGCACTTGACTCTCGTGCTTTTGAGTTGTTATCTGGAGAAGGTTTTTCAAATATGGCCCAATCTATTTTTGATGCTGGTAAACATTTTAATCCAACTTCGAATATCAATGTCAAAGAATTTATTCCATCACCAGTAACGGTAAATATACAAGTTCTTCTTATGCAAATCAATATTATTATTCATTTATATAATTTATATTAGATTAGTCGTCATATCGACAACTTATATGAGAAAAAAAAATCTGAATTAGTACAATTTTGTTCCAATATGAAAACTTATTGTATAATTTGCGATTTCTGGACAGAAAGATTTACAGGTTAGTCGCCATTTTGAATTTTGTTTCCGACAAAAGAAATATGAACAATCCAATTATTTTAGATTGTTTTAAAGTATAGTCGATCCAAAATAAAACTATTTTGATTCTATATAGCTATGAGTTAAAAACCTCAACAAAAAATTCTTCAAACTGAAGATTTTTTGTGGTTAATATTGTTGATGAGTGTAATTTGTCTCTTTCTATCCATCGAATATTTTTTCGGTGAAATAAAACTTGTTTGAGGAATGACTTTAGCAGTTTCTATGGATGTATATTAAACAATAACTATCTTAATTATTGATATCCACCATAGCAAACTTTTATTAATAATTATTAGCATTTGCTTTATTTTAACTGGTTGTTATATCTTTTTTTAATGTTTTAGGTCTTTCGTATTGCGGTTTGGCATTACGACATGTATCAGTTGATTTCAAATTATATAATTTTATTCTTGGTTGTGTTTTATACGACGTTGAATCACAATCAG